ACATATACACGAAGTATGCTTGGAGTGTGCCACTTAAGAGCAAAACCGGGGATAGTGTTGTCTCAGCCTTTAAAACCATCACAACCAATCGGAAACCTAAGCTACTATGGGTGGACCATGGCTCGGAATTTTATAACAAAACGTTCAAGGAGTGGTTGAAGAAAAACGACATTCACATGTACAGTACAGAGAATGAAGGAAAAGCCGTCGTCGTTGAACGTTTCAACAGAACGCTAAAATCTCGTATGTGGAAGCACTTCACCGCTCGCTCGACCAACGTCTACATCGATGTGCTGCAAAAACTTGTCGACAACTACAACAATAGTAAACACCGTACAATTGGGATGACCCCCATGGAAGCCTCCCTAGGGAAACCGATTGAGCAACTGTATGAGCCCATTGCGGATGAGCCTGTCTTTCAAGTCGGAGATAAAGTTCGCATTACAGTGGAAAAAAGAATGTTTGCGAAGGGATACACACCCAACTGGACCGAAGAGGTATTTGTGATTCGTAAGGTTCTCCCCACTTATCCGGTCACCTACAAAGTGAAAGACCTTGCCGATGAACCCATCACAGGAAGCTTCTACAAACAGCAGCTCATGAAGACTGAGCAAGCTACATTTCGAATCGATAAGGTGTTGAAAAGACGTAAGGGTAGTTTGCTGGTCAAGTGGAAGGGATACCCCGAAAAGTTCAACCAATGGGTATCGCAGAAAGAAATGAGGTATATTTCCAAGGATAGTAGTATAGGGAAACGTTGATGCAGTGCACAATGCAGACTACTGCAAGAAATCTGCTTTCTGCTGTTATTGCTGATCGACTGGCAGAACAAGGTCATGTAGACCTACCACAATGTGTATCGTCGCCGGAGTCGAAACCATCTCGGCTTTCTAGAGTTTTGGTACGAGTGTGTCGCTTAGTCAGGTGCAATGGATCGAGATTTCAGGTGCTGATGCAGCAACTGTGTTTCAACTCCAGAACGGGTCGTACGCAATTTCTTACATTTGCAAAAGAACTATTTAAAAACGGTATCAGCCATGTTAAAATTGTGGCCCTGTACTTATTCAGCAGCGAGTTAGCGAACATCTGTATGGAGAATTCAACGGAACTGGGATTGCACTATGTACATCATGTCATGACCTGGCACTTAGATTACATGACCACCAATGTTTCGCCCTGGTTGGCGGAAAAAGGAGGTTGGCAAAGTTTTGAAAACACCCTTACACACGACTTCAACTGGTCAAATCGCTCAGTATGGACTCATCCCCGTTCAGTCTTTTTGGCCATAATTTTTCTCATACTAATGGTTGAATGGATGTGAGAAAAAATTCCCGGTACAGTAAGATCAAGATGGTCTCCTCAAGCAATGCCACCCCATCAGCCGAGCCATCAACTGCGAGCAACAGCGAAGCCTATGAGAAAGTGAAGGGGCGTTTGAATAAAGTTAAACTTACTCAACAACTACTCCTGCTTGCACCAGTGCTGTTCGGAGCCAGCAATGTGGTGGCAGAGAAATCCACTCAAACCTCACCAGCCGAAAGAACAAGCATCATAACTACATTCATACTGGCCATCATGTGGACTTTAATCTCATTTTTATGTCATCATTGTGAGCATAAATTTACGCAAGTACATAAGCATTTTCTCAAGCTGGGGAAATATATGCCCGCAGATACTGAACTTGATCAATTTGATGATATATGGACTATGCTGCGCACACACTGCAAACCAAAGTATGTAGGGTAATATTTTATGATGCGATGAAGATTATTATACCGCACAATGCACTATATCCTGCAATATAATTGAGGCACAAGCTTGAAATATTTAACAAAAATGTAGAGTGTTGGAGCCAGCTCCACACGTCAAGAAAGGAGGAATATTAGACAGAAGAATGGCGGGGAGTTTTGCATGAAAATGATGAAACATGTTCAATGTGGGGTCCTGCCCATTAAATGTCCTTGTGACCATATGCAAGTGTGGCCATGCCATCATCCAGTATATACCGCTTGCAGTCGAATGGAGACAATGCCACCTTGGTGGTTACCTCCTCATACACTGTGTGGCAATGTGATCGGAGACCCGTCATAGGCCTGGCAGACACACGATGACTGAGCAGTGCATCTACATAGTCCTTGTGGGTGATGGTATTTGCCAGGACTGCCTTCCGAACACCCTTGGCCCGTTTGGCCGATTCCTGCCCGATGTAGGAGTACATCTTCGATCTTAGACCTACAAACTCCGCCATGGATTTCCCACCAAGCTCATCTTTGAATTTGCCAACCACTTTCTTATTGGCAGAAGTGTACTGAGGATGGTCAGTGGGAAAGTTGCTGGTGTCATACAGAGACAGATCCATCTCTGCATAGACATCACCGGTGGTTATGTGCACAATAACAGAGTCGGTGTCGGTGTACAACAGCCGGATTCTGCTACCGTACTGCTCCTTCAGCACATCGTAGTAGAAGGAGTACATGTGTACCTTTGACAGGTCTAGTATCGACATACCCACATAGACCGGCTTGTTGAGCTTGATCTCAGTGTACTGCTTTTCTATTCCGACAAGCCCGTTTGGGAAAATGTCATGCCGCACATATGTAGGCTTGCTCACTGCCCTCAGTACCTGCTCCTCACTTTCTTCTCGCAAGAGATCGATGCGTGTTCGATTACGAACGTTCTCCATCGTCTTGCCAAAGACTGAGTTGTTCATCAGCTGCAGCACACAAACAGGCAAACATGACACATGAGAATCATATCATGCCATTCCTTCACATCAGCATATTTTCAATTAGCATACTCCACGTCACACTTGCACCATACATGCAACAACAAAAAAAAAAAAAAAACAACAACAACAACATACAAGACTGCACACAACGGTTGCATTTACCTTGTAAAAGCTCTTCTCAAAGTCGGTTGTAGCCCTCGTGCGAAGTGCAGTGTTCAGATTGATGTAGGGAGCCATCCAGGCACTCTGCTGAAATCCCAACACCTTGTGAACAGCGGTCACCACCATACCCAGACGCGAATACAGCTGCAGTGTACGGTAGTGTAACACATACTTGGACTTGGGTAGGAGACTGGGTGTCAACTTGACTCCATCTACGGCTGACACTTTGAGCTCCTCCACAAGTGCTTGTTGGTATGGTGATAGCTTATCCGAGAATGTTCTCATCACTTCCGGTGCGAGTGGATAATCATTGAAGTAGTGGTGCAGCGAAGAGGGTACCTCTAGATCACACTCCACAGTGAACCCAGTGCTCGAATCTACAGGTTGTGCCAGTATCTCGGACAGGTTCTTGTCACACCAGGCAAACTCAGATGTCGGCATACTCTGGCACATAGCCCAGCCATACAGGTTGTTGGCATCAAGGTATAGCAGGTATGATGTGGGCTCGGCAGGATTGTACTGATCCATCGTTGGGTTGTTGGCCTTGCCGTACCGCTGCGACGCCATTGAGATGCCCCCACGTAGACCGGCTTCGACAAACAGATGCATGTCTACATCCGTGAGCAGCTGCAGTTCAATCTGGGTGAACCGTAGTAGAGCATCCCATGCATATCCTACATAACACCATACAACACACCAGAACACAAACACGAAAGTCAATACACCATGCAAAAAGTATAAAAATACACCGACAAGAAAGCACAAGAATACTAACAGAGAACACCATCTAAAGGAGAGAATACATTGGACAACAACAAAGACTGATGAACATACCTGGGAGAGTAAGGTAATGAGCTGGATCCAACCCATACGTCTTGTATGCCGTCTTGCGGAAATGCTCAAAGACATCTGCTAGAAGATAGACATCTGTTTGCAAATAGAGGTCATGATAGGCCTCCATTGTACTGCACTCAAATGTCTGCAAAACAAAACCAAAAAAAACAAAACATCAACGCACGCACGCATGCACACATCCATACACACAAGCATCCACATATCCACAGATAGAGAGCAATGAGTACAAAAAAATGTGTAGGGCACATCACAACAGCATACAAAGTCATAAGTAGAGCATAATGCAAAAAGCATGGCATCAGGGAAATTCTGAGGGCCGATACAGAAGGCACAAGCTGCTTACCTGCCATACGTTCTGAGCATGAGCATAGTCAGCATCACTGATACCTTCTCCAGTCAAACTAGACTCAAATGCTGATTTAGGTGGCAGCTGTGTCTCATCAAACCGAGCAAAGGAGTCCATGTACTCGTAGGGGTAGACACCCTTACGCAGGAGAAGGTCATGATGGGCCAATGTACGAGTAAGCTTGAAGGCATCTTCCGGGGTGTTGCTCACCAACGAGTCCAGAGAGGAGTTCAAGAAGGCCATGGAGTCGATGAAGCGGTACTGACGCCACTTGAATGAAATATATTTCTCCATGTTGTTGGCGATGACACTGATCTCACCAACCTTCTTAATCCGCTTACGCTGGTTAGAGTCCTCGTACTCCACCTCTTCAACCTCGGTCATACCAATGTGGGCGATGAGGTGGTGAGCATCGTACCCTTTCAGGTTGTGAAACACAACCGGAATGATCTGGCGATCTGGGTAGATACTCAGCTGAATATTACACTGGTACTGTGCAGCACCACGGTAGTTGCCTGTGCAGATATTCAGAAAGAGGGGAATACACAAACATAGTAAACATCTACAGTGAAGGTGATACCACAGACAATACAATTCAATACACCGTGATAAAACACAGATGCAAACAGCTACAAAGACATGAAAATGCACTATACACATCATGCGCATATCTACACACAACTGCAAAACAACAAAAATTAACAAAAAATTATAATACTTACCAGTGAGATGATCATGATCACGAACACGATCTTCTCCAAGTACTTCATCACATATCCAGCAGTTGACTGCGTTCTGAAACTCAAGCTCCAGTTCTGCTGTCATGCGAATTGGCTTGGTATCAGCCAAATCCTCCTGGATACTGCCTTCCAACTCTTTGAGACTGTCGAAAAAGTTGTGAATGGCATTCTAACTGCAGTCGTCAAACTCACCACGGACTTCACCGTTGGATCGGATGGCAGCATATCTACAAGAGCATAAAAGAAGAGGGAAAGTAAGAATAAGTGATTTTGAAAAAATGGAATCACACAAAATGCACATACTACAACACGAACACAATTAGGGGAGAACAAGACAAGAAGGAATAACAGCAAGCACTGTGCAGGTATGAGTACAGCAAACATTAGTCAAAAACAACACCAACAACAAAACATACCTGATGCTGCATGGTACATGACGTGCTGTGCGTACAGTGCTGCTGCCATGCTGTTCCTCCATCGGCTCAATGATGGCCTCCGTATCAGCGTAAATGATATATGGAGCCACCATCCTGTGCTTCAAATTTGTATATTTGAGGATGCTGTCCTTTGCTGTGGGCATGACTACTGGCACGGGCTTCATCACCTGACATCTCTCGCTGTGATGCTGCAGGGAGTCTGCTGTTTTGTGTGCGGAGAGGCATCGCAAGCAGTAGTGTGTTGCGTGTCTGTTCTTATTCTCACATGCACGACTGAAGTTTTTTATCCATGTGAAGTGGTTGTCATGAAGAAGGAGGTTGATGGGAGTCTCCTGTCGCTCGCTGAGATAGAGTGGGTACAGATTCCCCTCGTAGCCAAACACATTGATTGCAAGACCATTCTGTAACTCCACTTTGGGTACATCACTGAGAGTTGCAGGGAACATCACACCGTCGAACCGCAGCTCCTCAACGTACTGGGTGTACTTGGATACACGCTGTGGGTTGTAGTCGACGGGGTGCAGCGCTGACAACAACGCCCACATCAAACATCTGTCATCGTTGTTCTTTACGTTAATGATGGCCTTCTTTTTTTCTAATTTGGGCGGGATATCAGCTGCACCACCTACAGAACACCACAAAAATACAACGAAGGCTTTGCTCAGAGTAACACCACATCACAACTACACCCTCTCGTCAATCACGAAAAACTGTACATCTGGTACAAAACAATACATCTACAACTTTCCACAAGAAATTCGACAGGCTTGGAACAAACACTGCCGGATGAACAGAAACTCACCTCGAAGAGGAGTGTATTTTGCTGTGGACACATCCAGCTGTTTCACTCGAGAAACGATCCAGTCGGATCCGTTCTGCACCCACTTATCAATAAGACCAGTGATCCTCGCCACCATCGTCTTGACTGCACTATCAATGTCCCCTTCGCTGAGGATCCGAGCCGGTCTACTTCTAAAAAACGGGACGGCAGACGTACTACCCGTGGCCGACTCTTGTGTCATCTCCACCCTCAAAACTAAAACCACCTTGAACGGGTGAGACTGAAGCTCCTCGAGCAGAACCTGTCTGAGCTCGTCATGATGGCTGCTGAAAAAGACGAGAGGATCAGTTCCGGAACCTGGCAAAGAAAACTTTTTCAAAAAACCACGCACGGCACTCGAGGTGGGCAATCTGGGCTGCCTAGATCGTTTTGCACTTGGCTCCGCCATCGTCACGTCACCTCCAGCACCGCCTACAACATACTGAGGAAAAATCTCCCCGTACAGCGTATATGAGGTCGGCTATCACATTAGTATAGAGGACTTTCCAATGAGTCATACCGTGCGGCCTATGAGGATTCGGGCCAAAGATCATCGAGTTCACCACCGATCACCGGACTTGAAACGGAGCTTGGGTGGCAAAAAAAGAAGGCTGCACTGGAAGGAAACAGTGTTTTTCGAAAGCAGTTCCATTTTGCATACTGTAGTTTGAGAATACCAAAGGGCTGTTCGCGATCGGATGTTCCCACACCTGGATCGTCTTTGAGTTGTTATCGTTTTCCCTACGATGGAGAACGACGGAACCAGTGGATGACGGACACACGACTCGAGAACTTCGCTCCTTATGCAAATACTTCGAAGTACACGAATATTGTTCCATCACTTCGTTGGCGAAGAGAAAAGTCATGATCATCCCCTGTCACCCCAGTACGTATCGAACTAACTAACCAACTTGTTCAGCTCATTTGTGGCAGCACCAGTAAAGGCGGAAACACGAAGATGATTCCGAACACTATCAACTTACTTAGTTTGTTGGGGTGCAAGGTATAGCTGGAGTTTGATGATTGATAGTGCTGATGCTGATGGTAATGACTAATGTACCCAGCTCTATGCACGTACTTCTACATGACTGGTGGTGCTAGCTATTCTAGTACTGGCCCTGGGTGCAACTCATCATCTCTTCCATGCCAGTGTGTATGCCTCATGTTCTGCACAACGTGTATTTCCTTTGTCATGGATAAATACTCTGATCGACCTACTTGCGCAATCTTCTTCTGCTTCTCACTTGGTTGCTGCGCTGTGCAGTTCTTCATCTGCTGCGGCACATACTAGTACCCCTCATCTTCTGTCTTTCTGGTCAATTAGGTACATGTATTCAGCTTCTTGATCTTCTTGTGGTGAGGATCATCTTGATCTTACTTCTTGTGTAACTCTTGCAAAGGCAGTAATGGACGACACTCTACCGGTAATCAGCAACTGCTTATGGAGAATGCCAGGTCGAGGGACGACCAGGAAAAAACAATTGCTGTATTGGATGTGCATTCATCAGCGTGTTTTGAGATCAGGACAACAAGTTCGCCACTACACCAACTTTTTGGCTACATAGGAGCAATGATGATGATGGCCGTGTTTGACTTTGTCAGCTTTCGTGCTACCAGCCAATGCATGTCAACATTGTCATACTCGTACTGATAAGGAAGAAAAACCCACACATGCACACACACAAACACACACACACACACACACACACACACACACACACACACACACACACACACACACACACACACACACACACACATGGATACACTGACAGGCATGCAAAGCAAGAGAGACAGAGAGAGTCAGGCAGCGAAAGAGAAGTGAGACTACTTGTAGGTTATGGTCAAGGTGCTCCAATTTCTGCCCAGCTGAAGTAAAATCCATGTACACTATTTTCGTGTAGTGTTCATTGACGGTGCCAGCCACTGGTGAGTGACCCAGTGGTGTAGGTGTTGACATTCAGCACACATCACATTTCAGTCTCCAACGTAAATTCAGTCAAAACAACACTGCACTGCAGCAACATGGGAACATGCTTCTCCCAGGCCCACCATGCAAGTGCAGTGTGCGCCAAGAACAATTCCAGGTAATTCAGCAGCTACCCAAGGATGGACAGGTTCGGCAAAAACACTCCGCGAGTGCCTGACGTTTGCAAACGTATTTTGTTGACAGTTGTTGTTTCTTCCTTCGATTGGGCAAGACACCATAATGTGCCAACCCAGCCAGCAATGAGACACATGCATTTGTATCCTTCAGGGCTATTGTAAAGACTTTAGAGAGTCCTTTGCATATGTGCTGGGGACATTCACTAAATATTTAGAGAGGCCTGGATACCCAACGCAGGGGATTGGCTGAAAGGTCTTCGTCCATAGGTAAAATGGATCAATGTACTGGGCCCACGGATTCTGTCAATCTTCTCGCGGCAACGCCTCTTCAAGGCTGGAATAAACAGTAGAGTAACTGCGGCTAGTAATCCTCGCGACTTACCGAAACTATTCACCACATCAAAGAAAAGCAAAAGTGCTTCACCACTGCGACGGCCTGCAACATCATTTTCAACCGTACACCGAACAACACATTTGATTCTCTTTTTGCCACCCAAGCACATTTTACCGTAGGACACGGACTTGTCTTATGGGTGATCTTTGGGTGGACACCGGGAAGGCGCCAAAAAGGTGATGTAATGGAAAGTCCTCTATAATAACACGTGTACTAGTACACCTTGTGTTGCACTGCGTCTTTTCCGCAGGGCCACTGAAGGTCGCACGCTCCGCGTACTTATGCGCGCATGCGCAATATGTCACTGCACATCTACGATGTGCAAATCAGGGAGTAGTACGTATTTTACTACTCCCCAGTGCGAATGCACCGAACGTGCACAAGTGCACGTTCGCCACGGAAAAGAACATGATGACATTTATGGCATGACAGGGTCAAAGGTCAAACCCTGGGGGAGTCCCGGGGCCAGACCAAACGCGCCCGATACAGTGTGCCTTATTTAACCCAAAGGTCAAAGGTCAAACCCTGGGGGAGTCCCGGGGCCAGACCCAGCACGACCGACACAGTGTGCCTTATTTGGCCCAAAGGTCAAAGGTCAAAAAGTGTGCCAGAACCTGCCCCGCACTTACTACTGATGTCCACACCCTAAATCACATTTACATGAGAATTTTAACCAGGTGCGCGCCGCAGATGTTTTTGTTGATTCTGTGTTTATAATTGTAGTCATGGGTTGTCGTGATAAGGTCATCCGGCATCATATTGTAATGAAATCGTAATCCTGTTGATGTCGGTAAAACCTTTGGAAGCAGTTCAATGACTTCAAAGTGTTGCAAGTCCACGATTATCTAAAACAACACAGCAAAGTAGGAACAATAAACATGTATTAAAATGTAAACAAATACATTGCTGAGTCCGACACCTCGTTCCAACAACTACACTGATCCTGAGGATATAAGGGGCAAGGATATATGGTTGGAGGTACTGAGAGATAAACAAGGCACTCCGTAATAATAACATGTTACACGAAAGATATCCAGTCAAACCTCTTTAGGACGAACATCAAGGATCCGATGGCATTTGCTCTGTGAGTTTGTATTAACCCTATTTTTATAACGAGTGAATACAATTATTTCTCCAATACTGCAATAGAGACACGAATAGATTTCTTCTACAGCGAAAGATTCTAAGCCAGACCAAACCATTGACTCGTCTTTTATGAAACAAATGAGTCACTGAACCTCTCTTTAGCAACATGACGGCAACTGAAACAACAACAGAGAAAATACGATACATGTACAGCACATTTTTGCAGGTACAACAAACAGATTGCAAATCGTAATTCTTGCTCTACCGGCACGCAACTTTATTTGGGGCAGTGCAATCTCGGCGCTACTCACAAATCAAAAAGCCCAGACTCGAGTAAACAAATCCAATCGTACGAGATTTTCACGAAACTGCACCCATTGGCTTGTTTCGTATGAAGCAAACAAGTCACTGAATGCATGAACCTCTCCATAATGGAGATTTTCCCTGATATGCGAATTTATTTTGCATACTAGTACTCGGCCAATGCGTCCTTGAACCTTCGCCTCCAGATTGGGAACTGCCAACGATGCTATGCCACTGCAAAATTCAGATTCTACCCCATGATCGGAGCACGGAATACCGGAAGCAATCATGACCAGTGCCTTACTTGTAACGTACCAATGTACAATGAACATGAGTATTTCGACAACACATCTAAGCCTTACCGTCAAGAAGGTGAACTCGCGTTCTTCGCACACTGTTGGCAAGGGCAAAGAGATACGAATGGATCTATTAAATCCGAATAAAATCAGCACACTTTTCATAAATGAAAGAGTCAACACAAGCAAATGAATCAAAGGGAACTGGTCAACTCACCTGTCATTGAGTAATATTCCGTGAAAAGAGGTCTCAGCAGAGCCGAAGCGAAATAAGCCAGGACACGAAATATCCGAAACAGCTCATGCAAGAATCAGTTCCAAAGAAGGAAGTTCCTCGCGCATGCACATCCGAAAACGGACTGCACGGCATGCAACACAATGTCTGCCGTGCACGTGCACAGCACGCGGCTACCACCCGTTGGTAGATCTAATACCGAGCACCTTACGTAGAAACTTACGTAGCCTAAGTGAAGTACCGAGCACCTTACGTAGAAACTTACGTAGCATAGCGGTGTCGTTTTTCTGCCATGTGAACACAATAATAGAAAAGCTGACAGGATCGCTTTTCTAAATGTTTGCGACATCCTCATGCACAAGTAGTACTATGCACGTGCACTGCACGTGCACCCAGGGTCGAAACTGTACTCCATTTGTGTATGTCGCGTGTCGCATGTCGCAAAAGTTGATCTTTCTTCAACTTCTGCGACAGGTTTTTCTTTCTTCTTGGATTTATTTTCATGACATGCTCACTGATTTTACTTAGACTCTAAAAAATACAATAAAATAAAAAAACTTCTGCGACAGTACAGGTGCATTGCGATATAGCTTGCGACAGCTCGCGACAGGCAGTTTCTTGTCGCAACTGTCACAAATCTCGTGTCACATCGCAGAAAGTTGTACTGTGAATCGGCCTTAAGGCCCGAGTTCCACTGCGGCTCCGCAGTACATGCAGCGGAGCAGCGCGGTTCCACTGACACTCACCATTCGCGGTACCGCGGTAGTGCTCCACACTTTTTGATGACGTTTCATTTTCCTGCAAGTGCAGTGCTTGAACAAAGGAAAATTCAAAATTTAACATTTCCTGGCATTTTCAGGAGGTCAGTATGGATACATTGACGGTAGCAAAGTTTCTCCAGCGCTGTGTGAACTGGATCACGGTTTGCCAGTGTTATCTTGCTGCAGAGTGTTGGAGTGTTTTGA